TAATAGATACAGTGCCAGTCAGTGGTGGAAGAAGTATTCAGATCATTTACTTAAGTAAAAGTACCAATTCCACACTGTGAAATTCAAATACATGAATGCAAGTATTATTAGCAAAATGTAATTAAAGTATCAAAAGTAAAAGTACTCACTGTACACTGAAATATTCCATGTCAGTGTGTAACTATTACATCTGATGTTTTTGGATTTCTAAGACTGCTGCATTAATGTTGCTTTTGACTGTTGTTGATATTTGAGATTGAGCTCATACTTTATATACTGTTGGGTAGTTTAATCTACAGCAATGCATCATGTTCCATAAGATCAAATGTTTGCAGCATCACTGTCCTGAGAGAACCATTATCTCTACAAAGTCAACTTTCATTAGCTTAGAAAAACAGCTTTGTGACAATGCATTTTCCACCTAATCCAAGAGTTTTTAAATAATTGATCTTAAGAAGTAGGAGTAAGAATTTTCTCAACCCATAAAGGAACACATCATCCTTCAGTCACAAACATTCAAAATGAACATATATAAGAATATACTCGCTAAATGGAAATACCAGAGTAAAACACAAGTATTGTCAGAAAACAGCTTTTCTTTATGATTTACTAATTTCAACATTTTACAATGAGACTGAAATATCTTGTTTGCTTTTGCAGTTTTTGGCAGTGATATTCTTTATTACATTAATCAACTCGCAGTACGTCTGGCACTGGCTCACGCTGGCTCCGTCTAACTGTCATGGCAACAGCCAAAAATGCAGAACTCGAGGCTTCAAAGCGGTATTCCACAAACCAATGGATGATGTCACAATAGGTTCACACTTGGGGCAGATACAAACAGTTAATAAACAGTGTTGTGACTCATTGTCCAACAAGAGGGTCAAAAACACTGAAAATGATTGACACAATAATTGAAAAGTACCTTATGTTAAATGCATCTCAAAGAAAGGTCTGACCCATTGTGATCAAGATAGCTGACTACTTCTCATGCAGCTTTACCTTAACCCCTTCTCTCACACATAAACATACTTCCATGTTATTGTATTTAGTTGAAGCACTGAATAACATCCAATCTTATATTGTTTGATCTGTACAGTTTTTTGTTTTGAACAAGGTTTTTTTTATTAGAGTTTGCAAATAGTGGACAGTGCCCCAGAGGAGCTGAACAGACAAAAAAAACAAAAAACATACAAACATAATAACACTAAGGGAACAAATACAACGTCCCTCACCAACCCCCCACCCCGTACCAGACAGAGAACATACATATTACACACTATACAGCCAGACCATCACAGAAGAAAAAGAGCAAAATAAATAAAATTACAAATAATCATTACACAGCAATGCTGTCAGCATCCGTATCATCAACAAAGATCAAAAAAGGCTGCCAAATTCTGTAAAATTTTCTTTTCTAATTTAAGATGGCACATGACTTCCCTGACCCAATGACCATACATCGGTGGAATAGGATCTTTCCATTTAAACAATATTAATCTCCTGGCCAGGAGAGTGCAGAAGGTCAACATGCTGATTTCACACCATCTAAAAGGGGCATCCTCCGGAGTCACCCCAAACAGTGCAACAAGAGGAGACGGTCTCACTGCTCTTCCTAATATTTTAGAAAAGGTCTCAAATATAGATTGCCAAAATGTGTACAGCTTTGGGCATGTCCAAAACATATGCAACAGAGTAGCTGGAGCCTGTCTGCAATGATCACATGTGGGATCTATGTCGGGATTGATCTTAGAGAGTCTAGCTTTCGACCAATGCAGGCGGTGAACAATTTTAAATTGGACAACTGCATGTCTGAGACATATAGAGGAGGAGAAAATTCTTTGGATTACTTTGCGCCAATTATCATCTGAAAT